ATGTCTTTGCTTTTTAATATGCTGTCTAGGTTGGTCATAGCTTTGCTTCCAAGGAGTAAGCGTCTTTTAATTTCATGGCTGCAATCACCATCTGCAGTGATTTTGGAGCCCCCCAAAATAAAATCAGCCACTGTTTCCACTGTTTCCCCATTACTTGCCATGAAGTGATGGGAGTATGGGGGACAAATACTGACTGGATTGGCTTGAAGAGAATGAGAAATGAGGAAGTTGATGCTCTTTGAGTGGGTCAAGGAGTAGATGAATGAAGAAATGATGTCTTAGAGGGACTTTCCTGGTGATCCAGTGTTAAGACTCGTTACTTTCCATGCAGGGGGTGGGAGTTCAATCCCTGATCAGGAAACTATTATACGATCCCAGATGCTGCATGGTGTAGCCAAATTGAAAATGTTGTCTTAAAGAGGATTCTATAATTGGTCAGGAACCAACATAGATTAGTTATTTTGAACTTTTAGAGTCTCTGAAAAGTTTACAAATAGAAACAAGGATGCAATTTGGTGGTGCGAAGCTTTTAGTCATCAACAGGGAGTTCAGAGTAGGGCCACCCAGGCAGTAGATTAGTCTATGGGAGCTTCAGTGAGAGTTCTCGGTAGTGGTTGCATTTTATCGATTACTGACCTGGTTCATAAAGGTGCATAAAGACCTTCATGCAGTACTTCTCAGAAGCTTCAGGAAAGAGCTGTCCCTGCAGGGACTTGGGTGCAGAATTTTCAGACTGTTTCCAAACCCATCTTGCTAGTGTGTAGGGGTATTGATAAGAATCTATAAGGCTGGTTTTTGATGGCTGGGCAGTACCAAGGCTGAATGATTGAGAAGAGGTAAACAGGAAAAATCTGACCCACCCAATGTTGTGCATTTGAAAATGCTGTATTTGGAAGTATTTCTATATAAATTTTTTACACTGACATCATAATGGAGGTGGACTAAGTATTCACCTACCTATATTTGATGAATAGGTAGGCTGTTCTTACCTGCCTCCCCCTGGAGATGAAATACAGAGAATACAAACTTTGGGTAGACCAGACCCAAGCTTTGATTTTGACCTGATACGTGTGTGACATTTTTCAAATAGTGTTTCAAAAAGTACACAGATCCCATGTAAAATATATTTTTACTTACATGACCGAAGACAACCCAGGGACCATATATTTCCCTTCATAAAATTATTTCTGTTGACATCCTGGGGCTTCCCTGGTGGCTCAGATAGTAAAGAATCCACCTGCAATTCAGGAGACCTGGGTTCGATCCCTAGATCAGGAAGATCCCCTGGAGAAGGGAAGGCCACCCACTCCAGTATTCTTGTCTGGAGAATTCCACAGAGAGAGGAGTCTGGCAGGCTACAGTCCATGTGGTCACAAAATGTAGGACATGACTGAGTGACTAAGAGTTTCACTTTTCTCTTCACACATGTTAATGTCCAGGGCCTGGGTAATGAAATAGAACCAGTCATAGAATGTTGAAGAACCTGGTGTTACACCATGCTTCCTGTGATTCCCCAAGTGCACAAGATGCTCTTATATATGCCTTTGCTCATGCTATATCCTCTACCCGGAATACCCAAATCCCCTTCTTCCTGGCATACACAGACCTAAGAGGCCTTCCTCGCCAGAGATCAATCCCTTCTCTATGGTCCCCAGACTATTTTCATGTGTCACTCCATCTCCACACCTACCACACTGAACTACAGTTGTTTGGTCTTCTGACTCCCTCACTGGGCTGTGAGTTTCCTAAAGTAAGTGATTTTTGTCTTCTTCCTCTTTCTTTTACATCTAGGGTAATGTTTTTACATTTGGGGCACACAATCAATGCTTGTTGAATGTATGTGTGAGTGCTTGAGAGTATGAATAAATGAATGAATGAGTGAATGAATACCTGAAAAGATCAGAAAAATGTTACCCCCACACAAAGGGAAGCTTATACAAACATGATAGTGTCGATGACTTTACATACATGCAGAATTAGTACATAAAATGGCAGTTTCCAAGTCCAACTGAGATGATAAGATTACTGCAGCCTAATGTATGTAAAGAGGAGAATGATACTCACAAACGACTCATAATATGTGTGGCACACGATGGTGAGAACTGTGCTGATTAAAATCAGAGTTGGGTGATAGGAATTGATTGGTTTTCATCTACATTTGGGAGAGAGTTTTGGTCTGTGGAACAAAATGAACATTTTGGCCCTGTGATTTCTTTTAAGCAAGGTATTTTTCATCTTAAAATTTAAGGGCAAGGTAACAGCTTAATAAGCATGTTTTTCTAAAGCATGGCTTCCTTGTAAAACCAAAAAGAAGAACAAGCTCGCTATTACATCTCTAAAATGGAAGTTGCATTGTTGAACTCCTCATTTCATTCCTGCATGCCTTGGTTTCTTCCATGCATCCTTTGTAAAATGATAATAGCCCTTACTAGTATTTACATTATAAAAGGGTTGTTAATGTAAATTAGATCGTATAAAATGGGTTATGATGTCTTCTTTGAAAGACAAGCATGATACACAAATGAGGTATTATTATTTAGTTTTTCCTTTTCAGTCTCCTTAAATGAGAATTAGATGAAGACTCTGCCCCTTAAGCAATATCCAGTGGGTAAATGATTATTGAGTTGAGTAAAATGAAAAAAAAAAAAAATCTTCAGCCAGAAACTCGATTTGTGCAGCTTAGCTAGTCTCCACACAAGACAAAAGTACTGTCTTTATTTGTGATGTTTACCACCACACTTTATCTCCTGTCTGTGCTGTAATCACAATCTGAAGACAGTTAAGCCTTCCAGTTCAGTCACAGTGTGCATTTTAGAGAACCTAGATATCCTGCAATGATTGCAATTGAGAATGTTTCATTTAATCAAGCCACGCAGCCGGTTTTGCTACTGATTTAGGGCCTAATTCAACTCCTGGATTTTAGGCTCCGGTCACTATCACTGCAACCTTTTCAGGTTGGTTACTGCCGTTACCTCTGCGCCTATTAGCACCACCCAGGGCAGAACTTTGCTATCTTCTCCTTGGAATACAAGTTGGAAACTAAGAGGGGTTGAGGAGATTAGATCTGAGGAGTTGTGAATGTCAGAAACTTTACTTCATGTCATGAAAGGGTGAGAATGGAAACACCAGCTGTGAAGGATTGGGGCTAACAGAGCTGGTGGTGGTAGGCTGCCTGTCCAGCATGACTATTCCTGGCCTCTGAGTGCGTAGTAATTCCAGCTGACTTCTAGCTCCTGGTGCCTGTTCTCTGACTGCTCCCTGCTCCTCCTCTCTCATCCAGACCCCTTACAGTGTTCATCCATTGTGTCTTGGTTCACCTTCAACACGCAGGCCATCCCTACCAAGAGCATGGCCATGAGGTAATTAAGCTAATGCAAAGGTGGTAGGTGAGTCTTCATGGTGGCCTCATGTCCCTACTTTTGGAAAAAACTCTAGGGATTATATCTTCTACTTTGAAGGCAAATTTTTTGAAAGAGTTGTCTACATTCACTGGTTCCACCGATTCTTCAATTCACTATGAGCTGCCTTCTCCCTCCAATGACCCGGCTCTCACCCAACTGGACAGATACCTTCTTGGAGCTCCCTCCATAGATGCTTATCAAGCTTTTCTCAGTTGATCTCTTGACAGCATTTACTGTTGTTGACCACAACCTGCTTGTTGAAATGTGCTTTTCCCTTGTCTTCTGTGATACCTCACTCCACTAGTTTCCCTCCTGAAACCTCTCTCTAGTTGCCCTCTCTCTGGCTTTATCTTCTCTTGATCTCCTTTTTTTTTTTTTGGGGGGGGGGGTGCTGGGTGGGTGGAGGAAATCTTTTCTCTGCCCATGTTTTAAGTTTTGATATTACTCTGGTTTCTCTCCTGTGCCCTTTTCTCTTCCATGACACTCTCCCCACAAAGCTCTTTCATCCCCTTGGATTCTATTGTTGCCTATCGTGTACTGATGCTTCCTAAACCTGTACTCCCAGATTTCCAGATCAAACTGCCTCCTCATAACCCATGAGTGTTCCCCAGGAATCCCAAACCAAACATGACCACAGCTGGACTCATCTCTTAAGAAAATGTCTTAGTGAGTGATATCACTGTCCACCCAATGTGCTCAGTCACTGAGTTGTGTCCAACTCTTTGTGACCCCCATGAATTATAGCCTGCCAGACTCCTCTGTCCATGGGATTATCCAGGGAAGAATACCGGAGTGGGGGCTGCCATTTCCTTCTCCAGGGACTCAACTGTTCAAGTCAAAAAACTGAACACCAATTTAAACTTCTCCCCTTCAAAACGCCAGCATTCAAGCCATCACAAACTTCAGTTGATTATACTTCCTATATGACATGGCTTGTAAGGCTCTGGATAAATTGTTTCTCTTAACCTCTCCAGTTTCATCTCTGACCACTGTGTCTCAGCTATCCTGAACTATTTTCAGTATTCAGATTCTTGGTCATTTCTGTCACCTTCAAAATATGCATCCATGTGCCCTCCATTGGAACAAATCTGCCTCACCTCTTTATTGGACTAACTTCTTCATACCTTGTAAGTCTCCATGTGGAAGCACTAACTTCCAATTCTCCCAAAGTCTGGGTTAGGTGTCCCTCCTAGAGTTCTTGACAGTCTTCTCTTTATAACACACTGTTTTATGGGAACTGCCTTTCCCGCTTCTGTCTTGCCCTCTACTGGAAGCTCTACTGAAAGGTTTCTGTAAGCAGGAAACATATTTACTTCATTTACCTTTGGACTCATAGAACCAACAAAGTACTTGGTACAAAGTAGATGCTCAGTGAATGAAAACAGAGGTTAAAATATCACTGTGAGGATAGACAATAAATTTCCAATGAGAGGATACAATTAGGATTTTACAAAACAAAGATTTATCTCTCTTTGACATCAAAGAGATTTGAAGATTATCAAAAACTATTTAGAAGAATTTATCAACAATAGAATCATGAGCAGAGAGTAGTTAATAGATTTAGATTTCAGATCTGTCCTTTCCGGGCTTCTCTTCCAGAGTTCAGAATGCAGAATCTCTGAGCTGTATTTTCGGGTCCCCCAAGCATTCCATCCTCTCGACTCTCCATAAACTTTTGGACTCATAACCCACTCCATACTTGAGAAAATGGGGATTGGAATAAGGTAAGTGCTAGCTTTTCTATTTTTTTCCTCTATTACTTCATTTTCAACCATATACTATACTTGTAGAGCAATAATTTTTAAACTCTGTCGCAGTAATTTTTAAACTGTCTCTCTGGAGTCTTGATCAGGAGGTATGACTGACTTCCCTGCTTGTCTAGCTGGTCTCATAGTGTTTGAATATCCTATGCATATGACGAAATGTTACAAAGTGACTTGAAATATTATATCCTTTCAGATTTTCTTATTTCATGACTATTTAAATTCTTTATCATTATTCTATTGAGTTGTTCCTAATACGACTCCATGTAGAAAAAAAAGTGAATTTTGAGAAACCAGAAAGACTTGCTGTCCACTTTTGGACAACTTTTGGATCAGATGCACACTCACAATGCAGGGCATGAGCAGTGTAAGCAAACTTCAGAAACAACTCTGTTTCAGCCGCACTGCATGTGGACAACTGTTCACTGCACACCCACTGTCAACCTTCTCGAGCCCCTTGTTAATGTTCAGTCTAAGTCATATCTGACTTTTTGCAACGCCATGGACTGCAGCATGCCAGGCTTCCCTGTCCTTCACTATCTCCCAGAGTTTGCTCAAACTCCTGTTCATTGAGTTGGTGATGCCATCAACCCACCTCATCCTCTGTTTTCCCCTTCTCCTACCCTCAATCTTTTCCAGCATCAGGGTCTTTTCCGGAGAGTCAGCTCTTCCCTTCAGGTGGCCAAAGTGTTGGAGCTTCAGCATCAGTCAGTCAGTCAGTCAGTCAGTCAGTTCAGTCGCTCAGTCGTGTCCAACTCTTTGCGACCCCATGGACTGCAGCACGCCAGGCTTCCCTGTCTTATCACCAACTCCTGGAGCTTAGTCATACTCATGTCCATCGAGTCAGTGATGCCAGCCAGTCTTTTCATCGTCTGTCATCCCCTTCTCCTGCCTTCAGTCTTTCCCAGGATTAGGGTCTTTTCCAATGAATCATTTCTTTGCATCAGGTGGTCAAAGTATTGGAGTTTCAGCTTCAGCATCAGTCCTTCCAATGAATATTCAGAGTTGATTTCCTTTAGAATTGGCTGGTTTGATCTCTTTGCTAGAGCCCCTTACTTGCTTTCATTTTTCATTTTTAAAAAATTTATTATTTATCTTCATATTTGTTTATTGCTTATCCCCAAATTAGAATATAAGCTTTATAAGGGCAGGAATTTTGTTTTGTTCACCAGTATATGCTCAGAACTTGGAACAATAACTGTTTACATAATAAAAACTCAATATATATTGATTGAATGAACAGTGTCTTTTAAAACATTTTTAAGAGACTGATGCATACCCAGGCCTCTAGAGATCTAATGTAAATCTAGCCCAAAGCTTTGTTGCCCTTAACTTTTTGATGGATGGCTAAGATGATAACATTGACCACACACTGAATGAATTTACAGATGTAAATTGTTATGCATCTATAAATTATGCACAACTGCAAAGGATAACCAATAATTTGGATGATACAATCAGGATTCCCCTCCCCCTTATCAAATCCTGACAAAATGTAATGGTGAATCACACCTAACAATATAAAGGGACAGATATAAAGCACTCAGAGTTCCCAAAATTCAATTGTACCAGTACAGGTTGGGGGCGAGATGACTTACAATTGCTCACGTAGGAAGATTTAGTCTCCTGTTGATTGTGAGTAGATGATGAGTCAACGCAGTGTGATGTAACTTCCAAAAAAGATCAATCTTTTGTTGTATTAATAGAAATGTAGTGTTCAGGTCAGGAAGTAGTTCTCTAGTACTCACTGGTGATCGGGTCAGATTTGTTTTGCTTTATGAATTCTGATATTCAGCCTTTAAGAAAACCATTAATAAACAAAAGGTTCTTCAAGAAGAGTTTAAAAGGGTAAAATGGGATCTTATAATCAGTGTCATATCAGAAATGATTAAAGGGTCTAAGAGTTTGTGTTGGTGTGTGAGGTGGAGGGAGAGAGCTAGCACCTTCCGAAGTGAGAAGTGCTGTCCTGCAAGGAAAGTTATATTTCTTCTGGGTAATACCAGAAGATTGGACACCCTTGAGTAGAAGATATAAGTATATATGTTACAGCCCATTAGAATTTGTCAACAATTACTATGTTTGCCCAGTAATCAGGTGGACAACTGGTGGAGGTTGTAAGTTCCTTGACCCTGGTGGTGTTCAAGCAGAAACTGGGCACACATGCCTCATGTCCTGAATACATTTGTGATGGAAGTTCAAACACTGGGGTAATGGATTGGATTAATCACAATAGCAAACACACATTGGGTGCTTACTATATGACCAGTACTGTGATAAATATTAATGTGGGTTATTATTTTTATACATCAGTCTTACTCCATCGTGAAAGTGAAAGTGCAAGTCACTCAGTTGTGTCCAACTCTTTGCAACCCCATGGACTATACAGTCCATGCAATTCTCCAGGCCAGAATACTGGAGTGGGTAGCTGTTCCCTTTCTTCAGGGGATCGTCCCAACCCAGAGATCGAACCCAGGTCTCCTGCATTGCAGGTGGATTCTTTACCAGCTGAGCCACCAGGGAAGTCCAAGAATGCTGGAGTGGGGAGCCTATCCCTTCTCCAGGGGATCTTCCTGACCCAGGAATCAATCCAGGGTCTCCTGCATTGCAGGCAGATTCTTTACCAGCTGAGCTACCAGTGAAGCGGAAACTGAGGCATCAAGGGGTTTAGTATCTTGCCCAAGGTCTTAACATCTTGTACAAAGCAGAGCAAGGATTTTAACTTATGCAGTCAAATCCCTGATTTTAACTTATTATTCTAAGGAGTCCTACTAAAAAAACTAATTTTTAACTTTTTATTTTTTATTGGAGTATAGTCGATTAACAGTGTTGTGATGGCATCAAGTGAACAGCGAATGGACTCAGCCATACATACACATGTATCCATCCTCCCCCGAATGCCCCTCTCTGCTATATTTTAAATGGATAACCAACAAAGACCTACTGTATAGCACAGGGAACTCTGCTCAGTGTTATCTGGCTGCCTGGATGGGAGGGAAAACCATTCTTTCCTACCCTGAGATTCCACCATTGTAATGAAGTAATCAGACCAAAGAGCTTATTATCTTCTGTTGTAAATGACTCTAGTGAATAGGTTATTTCAACAGAGTATGCAGGCACTAAATTAGCCTGGGCAGTTGCTACTTGTGGTACACTATATGCAGCACAGCATGTGGCCTGGCACACAATAGGTGCTCAATAATTATTTGTTAAGGGACAAGAATGAGTGGACTGCAACCTCACAAGCTGCATTTGAAATGGCAGAATCTCAATGCATTGTGTCTGAGGGAAAACAAGCACATTTCTGGGTGATCGACTGAGGACAGTTGGCAAAAAGTGATAATCCATCATTCCTAGCAGAGGCCTTGTGAATTCCTGCTCAGTTGTTTGGACAATATTCATTTAAACAAATATTTATTGAGTACCTATCCTGTGCCAGGTATGTCCAACATGCTGAGGGTGCAGAGGTGAATCAGAGGATGCACTGTTAGTGGGGGAGATGGACAGGTAAGCAAATTCTTATGATACAGTGTGATGAGAGCTTAACAGGTGTGTGTGTGTGTGTGTGTGTGTGTGTGTGTGTGTTAAGTATTACAGGGACACAGAGCAGAAAGGAACTGATTCTACTTGGTTGAAGGATTTGTCCAATACTTGATTTTGTTTTCAAAATTACTGTCATGTGTGTTGCATGAGCTTATTTGGTCTTCATACAGACTGCATGAAATTGTGATCCCATTTTGAACAAAGATCAAATAGAGTATTATGGAGGTTAGGTGAGTTCCCCAAGATCATGTAGCCAGTAATAATAATTGTTGGTGTTTATGGAGTGCGTAGGCTACCTGAGGTTCTGTTCTGAGCCATATTAAGATGGTTCATCTTCAAAACTCTACAAGGTCATTATTAATATTATTGCTGTTTTACAAATGAGAAAACTGAGGCACAAGATCTAAATAATTTGCCTAGAGTCACATAGCTCGAAAGTAGAAAAGCCAGGATTTGAACCAACCTTTTCTGGTGTTAGCAGGCACACACTTACCCAGTGCACTAAATTACCTTTAACTGGTCCCCTGAAGAGCTGGGGATTCTTAGATTCTGATTGTAAGTTCAACTTTCTTTCAAGTGACTTTGTTCTTTAACAATGTTATTGATACATCCAAATGAGAGAAATAGTGTGCGCCTGACTACAAGAAGAGGTTGTGTAGGTTAGGCATCCCTAAAAGTGTTTTGGGAGAGGTATGGTAAAATCTAAGCTCTCCAAAATCACTGCAGATGGTGACTGCAGCCATGAAATTAAAAGACGCTTGCTCCTTGGAAGGAAAGCTATGACCAACCTAGACAGCATATTAAAAAGCAGAAACATTACTTTGCCGACAAAGATCCACCTAGTCAAAGCTATGGTTTTTCCAATAGTCATGTATGGATGTGAGAGTTGGACCATAAAGAAAGCTGAACACCAAAGAATTGATGATTTTGAACTGTGGTATTGGAGAAGACTATTGAGAGTCCCTTGAACTTCAAGGAGTTCAAACCAGTCCATCCTAAAGGAAATCAGTCCTAAATATTCATTGGAAGGACTGATGCTGAAGCTGAAACTCCAATACTTTGGCCACCTGATGTGAAGAACTGACTCACTGGAAAAGACTCTGATGCTGGAAAAGATTGAAGGCAAGAGGAGAAGAGGACAACAGAGGATGAGATGGTTGGATGGCATCACTGACTGGATGGATGAGTTTGAGTAAGCTCTGGGAGTTGGTGATGGACTGCGAAGCCTAGTGTGCTACAGTCCGTGGGGTCACAAAGAGTCAGATACGACTGAGCAACTGAACTGAACTGAACTGAACTGATGATAAAACCTAATACTGGCATTAGTTATGATTTCAGGGTTTTTCAGGGCAGCCAGAATTTGGCCTTTTTTTCTCCAGGCCAGCAGGTCTGGGCTCTAGGCACTATGATATGTTACACATAGGAACTAGCCACCAATACTTACTTGCAGCCTTTTAAAATTTGGCTTAAATTTTTCTAAAAGAAGGCAATAAGATGTGAAACGTTAAGAATGAAACAAGTTAAATTCAATACCTTATATGTAAGCAAGAGTGGAGATACAGAAAAGGAGAAATGAAGCACATAATTGCTTAAATCATCCAAGCTTTCTCTCCGTAATAAAAATTCTTGGATTGAAAAATAGTTCAATCCAATAGTATTGTACCTTAATAATTAGGTTGGGTTTCCTCTGTGGTAAATCTCAGAAAAAATTGGTTATTAAAATGAATGAAGTAGATTACCCTTCCCTCGGTAATTACTACTTCAGCTAATGTGACTGTTACCTGTATGATTGAGTCTACTCCATTTTTAAGACACCCATCTCCAATAATTTTTGAAGATTCAGTAATTTAAAAGTCGACAGTGGGTGGGAATTTCTGTGGTAGGCAGAGGGACAGAAAAGGTCAATGTTCTTCTACATTCTTTCCTTTAAATCAAGTTTTTTGGTTTCGGTTGGTTTTCAGTGTTTTGTTACGAATGGAGACCTAGTAGATATAACTGATTTATCTTAGCCTTTGTGTTTATAGATTTCTGTTTTCTTGGCTTCAGGTCCTTGGAAACATTTGTTTTGATGGTAGCAGGAGAGTTAGTCATGTTTTATTTTTGTTGTTCCCATTTATTTTTAAAATCTTTTAGTTCAAGTCCACTTACAAGGTGTTATATAACCTGTATTTATGTTTCCACACACAAAAAAAAATTCCTAGTAGTAATTCTAGTACACTCATAAAAACAGTTAATAATTTGATGCACATCAGAATGATTCTGTGATATTAGTAAGCTGGAACTAGGATATGCTTTGGAAAAATGTGTTTGAAATTTGTAATTGGATTTAGCATTTACATATGAAATTTCAAGTTTCTTAGATCAATTATTTTTGAGTTACCAAGCAGCCAAATTCTTCTTTTCTTTTCATTACTGAGTCAACAAAAGTTGGAAAATTCTTTTCTCACATACTCCATTCTTTAACTGAGCCTGAAGGTAGATGACTTTTTAAAAAGCCACATCTCAAACAAACAATTTTACATGAGGTTATGAGTAAATGAATAGAATGGGCTCTCCTGGCACTGGGGATGTGCGTCTAACTAGAACTCTCAATCTTCCAAACATATCATTTACTAACACTGAGGTTTTTAATTCTTAACTTTGAGTCCATTGGGATGGAAACAAGTGACCCTTGTTGGAAATATGTCAAGAATCAGCTTTCTCAGGTTGACCTTTAGTTTGTTGGTCACCAAATCAAAACACTATTTATTCCCAGGCTTAAAGATGTCTGTACCTCCTTAAATGTGTTGTAAGATCAAGGAAGAAAGCACTGCTTTGCTGCTGTGAACAGATTGCCTTCTCTCTTTTCCTTGATGCCTCTTAGTTTCTTCATGAGAGATAATGCATCTTAGCCAGCTCCATGCATGAAGCAATATGAAGTATGTTGCACCTCTTGACATCCTCCATTGTGGGTGGGAGGTAGACAACTCTGTTTTTACAATGGGAAGATGAATATCTGCCTTCAAACTGACTTGACTGGTCCAGAGCTCCATACTAGGCACCAAAGACTGTTACAAATGCTCTCAAGAGCCAATGTTCATAACTTACAAGTAGTAACATAAAATTTGCATCTATTAGAGTCCTTTGTGACCTTGAGCAAGCAATTTAACCTCCCTCCAAAATAACTATTTCATAGTGTTATTATAGCAAATCGTTGATACTATATATATGAAAATACACAAAGCCTAGCACATAGTTGCAAGTGAAGGTTGAATTTATGTGAAGCATATAATTAACCACCCATGGAACCTCAAATGGACAAATGAATCGAAATTGACATCTGTCTCTAATTAGTTTTAAATCAGAAAATTTCACTTTTAAATGAATCACTCCATCTACCAATGACTTTGCTTCATAGTCTACATTCAGAGCAAAATGTTACTTAAGTGATAGTCTGTTAATGTATTTCATAACAGGAGCTGACTATGGTTTCTTTAGGAGAAAATCACAAGTAAATAAAAAGAAGGAAAATTATATAAATGAGAGATCTTTATTTAGAAATAAATGAAGAAGGGACAGTTATCTGATAATAGAACATTCAGATCATGATATAATTATATGTCTACATGTAATTACAAAATATAATTGTATTTATGTTGGTTTAAAAATTTTTTTTCTGATCTTAAAGGACTAATTTTCTCATAATTGAATGACAAACTCTGTAGTACCTCGTATTAACTATTAATAAGCTAAAAATACCCATTAACTATCTTTTTCTTAATTCCATCTACTGTCATGGACTTCCATTTATCTCAGCGATACAAAAAGAATGATTTAAATTGCTTGCTCTTTCTGCTTATTAGAAAGGAGGAGAAAGAACCATTCCCCCAACCCACTTAACTATGAAAAAAGGACTCTCCCAAGTTGCCAGGAACTAACACAGTAGTAAAATTACAAGAAAATTTTGTTAAGAAATCTTTCCTCATCTGCAAGTTATTTGACTGAAACCTGAGGTGCTGAATTTCAGCACAAAGGTGACTTTGGAAGAGAAAAGTTTGTGCCAAACTGGATCAGTTGTTTTTGTGTTATGTAAGGAGGAGAAAAGAATTAACTATTTACTCCTAAGCTATAAATTTAAGATTACCCTAGTAAACCAAATGAGAGAATGTCCAAACCGCAAACCTTACCTTAGCCTTACCTTTTCATGAACTATTTTCTGTACCCACTCAAAACTAAATATAATTAAATATTAAGTAATTTGCATTGCCCAAATATATTTTAAAAGTACAAAGTTATTTTACTAATTACTTCAGAAGTGAACTCTAGCTGAATTGTAAAAAATGGTATTATTAAACAACTTAAAACATTTAAAAAAAAATAATTTTTCCTGATTATATACAATATAAGAGCAATATAAAAATAAAGAATATGCAGTACAGTAAAAACAAAAAAGTAAAAATCACCAAAATCACCCACAATTCTATCATCCAGAGATAATCACCATCCATATTATGCTATATCCCTTGCAGTGGGTATTCACACATACACAAACCCATTATATGTAAATATCTATTACTGCTTTATTGTAGAAAATTTAAAACATGAACAAAAGTAGACAGAAAGCATCATGAACCTTTTGTACCTATCAACCTATGATGACCAAACCAAACCATTGACTCCCTCTTCTTCTTCCCCACTTGTTTTACTTTAAAGCAAATTTCAGGAATTGTATCATCTCATTCACAAATATTTCAATATGGATCTTTAAAAGATAAGGCTTTAAAACATAATAATTATCACATCCAAACCAATTAACAATGATTTCTTACTAATATTAAATAATTAAGTCATTATTTAAAATTTCAATTGTCTCATGAATGTCATCATAGTTTATTTTCATAGATTGTTTCAAGCAGAATCCAGATAAGGTTCACACGATGAGATTGGCTGATTTATCTGTTAAATCTCTTTAAATATAAGTGGGT